ATCTTGAAAACCGTACACTCATTGCATGAGCCATACCTCAAAATTCATATACCTGTCCACCCAATCGCTCGATAAATGCCATTATCTATAAATATAAGATATTAAATAAATATAAATATTGATCAGTATGAATAATACGGTAATATGGCATAGTATATTCAAGAAAAATATGCGGTATGCAGCATACCTTTAACTTTGTAGTCAACGGACCACTAGTTTGATTTCGTACGAAATAATCGTTGAAATGCTTGTACACTATTTGACGTTGGTGATACAGCAAGGCTGAACAATGTAGAATAAACACCAGGGTTAGGAGATATGCGACACATATAACAATAGAGCATATCATTACAATTAAAGCAACATTCCCATAATATACAATGAATAGGTATATTGCAATGAATATAGTTATGATAAACCAATAAATAGCCAAAAAGTATTGCCAATAAATACGGTTATAATTATCGATTTCTGTCAATATATCGTTGAGTTTACGCATAATTTGGTTAACATTTTGTGTTGCTTTCTCAATATTTCTTAATTCATGAATAATGGTCTCTATTTTAAGATACAATTACAAATAACACGTAAAATCTATAATACAAAAATTATATCAAATTAAAAATTATTATATTGTCTATTTTATTGAGTGAAATTGCACAACAAAATACAAATAAAAATATGACAATTTATTGTATTGGCAATGTTAATATAAAATGTTGAATCATGGTGAATTAGAATATCGATTAATAGCAATTTTCATGAATATAATGGGAATAACACTCAAAATCTATAAGAGAAATGATATGTGTATTATAAATTACATGTTATTTAATATTCAATTAAACACCAGAAATGTATGCAAACCTCATATCCTTTGAATCTTGTGATGAGAAATAGTTTCCAACAGTAAAACCCAATCCCTTTCCCACTCAATCGCTCAATCAATGCCAGTATCTGTAAGATATGTTTGATTTAAAATATATTTATAAACAGTATTAATATATCATTTATATTATATATATAATACATAACCTTTAATCTATTGGTAAAAGTTAGCGACTCATTAGTTCTGTTACGCGAGTAATAAGTGTTAAAATATTTATAGAGAATAATATTCTGATTGTAAAGAATCGCTGAAAAGTGTATAATAAACACCAAACTTAATATGAATTCTATGGTTATAAAGAATGCGGACATTTTAACTATGAATATAACGTCCCCATAAAGTGATACGAATAACATTACGGCAATGAATACAGTTATCAGGGTCCAATAAATAGCCAAAAAGTATTGCCAATAAATACGGTTATAATCATCGATTTCTGTGAATATATCGTTTAGTTTACGCATAATTTGATGAACACTTTGAATCTTATTATCAGAGACTACTAATCGTTGAATAAATGACTGAATTTTAAGCCACAAATAGTAAATAATAATCGCGTAATACATTAATTGCCACATTATTATGTTATTAATATAATAGCCACCTAGTCCTAATAGGATACTATGGGTACAAGTTATCAGTGCGAGTACATAGGTGGGTGATTTGAGTCCAAACATAAATATAATTATAGCACATATGCAACACACGTAGAATATTAAGTTTGTTATAATTTCTGTATATTTAATACATTTTCTGGTAAATGTAAGCAATTTGATGACCACTAGGATTCACGACAAACAAGTGGTCATCAAATTGCTTACATTTAGCAGAAAATGTATTAAATGTACAGAAATTATAACAAACTTAATGTTCTACGTGTGTTGATGTTAATGATATAGAATATTTAAAAATTAATAATTTAAACGCTAATACATTATTAATACAATAATAATTTTTTAAAAAACAAATATTGCTTTGTAGATAATTATTTCATATTATAAGTAAGCTTATGAAGAATAAATACAAAATAATATTATTTAATATTTTAAATACATTATCGGTAACGAAAATAAAAACAAGTATGAACATAAATTGCAATATTACACTTAATATTTAAATGTTTTATTTTTTAAAATGTTATTGATAAATGTTTTTACCGTAGTTGTATTGGTATTATTTTGGCAATAATATCATTTAAACTTCAACAATATTGTCTCAATTTATAACTTAATATTTATAACTATATATATTACATAGTTATAACCACTATAATAAATAATGCTTTTATTATCAATATTTGTTTATTATGTGTTTGTTCATATACTGGTATTTCAATAAACACATTACACTATAATATAATATTATGTTTAAATGTTTACTTATATCGCCGTAAACAATATGAAACAGTTTAGTTCAATAAAACATTGTCTCGTTTGTGATGAAAATGTAGTCAATATATGACCAATGGACTTTTTTAATGCTTATTGAAATGTAAAAATGCATTACTTGGCCAATTATTACATTCAGTTATGAAATATACTATTTAAATAATATTGACAATATATTGAGTACATTTTGCAAAATAATAAACTTATTAAATATATTTAAACATCATGTTTTACATGTATATTGAATTTAATGGTTTGTAAAATAATATATTAATTATATTTCTATAAATTAAATACATACAATAATTAATTTAATGTTAATGATATAAAATATTAAAATAATTAATACTTATACTCCATAACGATAATATATTTACTCGTAAAACAAAATATTATTTTATATTACAGTATAATTAAGCATATTATGAAATTTAAAACACAATTTGCGATCAGTAATGTGTTATTAGTATGCATTTTAAGTACATTATCGATAAGTAAAATAAATGAAATATGAACATAAATTGAATAATATGTTTGTAACATTATTAGACTTAAAATATATTATTATTTAAATGTTTTCATAAATTTTTTAAAATGTTATTTCGAAATGTTTTTACAGTAGTTGTGTATGTATTATATCCCCATAAACTTATTAAACTTCATGAATACAGTATTGTTTATATTTTTTATTTAGTTATAATCGTTACAGAATACAATGCTTTTATTATTAATGTTACCAGTAATGCTTATTTAAATATTACATACAATTTAATTCTTGTATACTGTATAATATTTCAATAAATATCTTACATCACACTATAAGCTATCAAGGTCTAAATATGATATAGTTTATTTATCTGCCACAATAATTAACAGACATTATAAAGGGTAATTAGTAATTACATTCAATACAATGTTGTTATGGTTTACTATAGCGTAGATTATATTTAAAAATTAAGGTATTGCGAGAATATTTTTAAAATAAGTACTGTACACCAAAATGTCCCTAATGAATTTATTTTCTATGCCTGTATTACAGATTGTTCACAACTTTTATACCCTGGTTATAATTATAGCATAATGACAGAACATGTTATTGATTTTTCCAATGCTATCCAATGCAATAAATACTTTTGACATTTGCTTTATTTTTCACATTTTAAATACAATTTGCATTCATTAGTACAGAGAATAAGATATAATTGCATTGAGATTAGGTGCCAATTAATGCACATTTAATACATAGGACTGAATGTATGTTATAATTGCAATCACTACCAACTTGTCATGAGAAATAGTTTCCAAAAATAAAATCATTATTATAAAAGTGAACCTAAACTTATACTAATTTGTACTTGTTTCAAATACAGTACTAAAGAGATTGCAAGATAGTAATGAAACTGAATTGTTGAGCGTTAACTGTATTCATTACGTTTGCATTTTGTATACACATTTCAATTGCAAATATAGTAACCAATGGCCAGACATCGCGTGGCATATATCGTGACATCGTTTCTACATTAGAGTCAATATCTCTCAAAACAGTGTTATTGTAGACCAAAGTGGAGACAAACTCGAGACAAACAAAATACGGCTATTAATAAGCCTTCCCTTCATTACACCACTACTGACCGACTAATTGACAGGAAGTGATAAAACCTCTCTTTTAGGCGGCGCCGCCTTTCATAGAGAAATCAATGACGATATGAGGCATACGTTCAGTAGTGGTGTAATGAAGGGAAGGCTTATTAATAGCCGTATTTTGTTTGTCTCGAGTTTGTCTCCACTTTGGTCTACAAGATAGTAAAGAATTACTACAATATATTAAGAGTGCAGAGGAATTGCAGTGAACTCGACATCAAGAGAGCATTTCAAACACTTCAAACGGGACGGCATTCATATCGTATACACCGTCCGATTGAGTCTTAAGGAAGCCATAGATAATAGTGGTATACAAGTGCCTACTCTAGAGGACCGGTCGCTTACCGTACAGTTAGACAGACAGCAGATCATTGAGTTGTACGCTAACACTGAGGTGTTTATCAGGAAAGTTGGTTTAGGACTTCCAATTCCCAACAATGTGCTCATCAGAGGTGATCTCATTATAAGATGTCAATTGAGATCATAAGTGATTTTTGTATTATATTTGTGTTTATTGTGTAAAATAATCTCAATTTATGTTTTGTTAATTTGAATAAATATATAATAATTCATAATTTAAGTTAACATTAAGGAGTTTCGCATATAAACTAATTTTTATTAAAACCAATTTTGAAAATACAATTATGAAAGTACTGTAGTCATAATAATCGCAGAATATTCTATACAACAATATTTATCAAATGTGAATATCATTAGTGAATAGCTTTAGTTATTTCTCAAATGTTTGCGTTCATGTCGACGAAAATTTGACGGATCAGTGAAACATTTGCCGCAATCTTTGTGGTCACAAACGTACGACTTTTCTCCCGTATGAAGGCGTTTGTGACGAATTAATATTGATTTGTGAGCAAATTTTTTGCCGCAATTGTCTTCATCGCAAACAAATGGTTTAAGTTTCAAATGAACGGCATTTTTATGCTGAATTAGCGTTGATTTCTTAGCGAATCGTTTGTTGCAATTCATGCCATCGCAGGCGTAGGGCTTCTCTCCCGAGTGGACCCGTTTGTGACGATTTAAATCACTCTTCAGAGCGCATCTTTGGTTGCATCCCTTATAATCGCATAGAAATCTCTTTTCCTTTGAATGAACGGCACTTTTGTGTTGATTTAAATAATATTTGTATGGAAAGCATTTGTCGCAATCCTTTTCATCGCAATTGAATGGCTTTTCTCCCGAATGTAGGCGTTTGTGTCGATTGAGATTTGTTTTATGAGCGAATCGTTTGCCACAATCGGGAGAAACGCATACAAATGGGCGCTCATTGACGGCATTTTGAGCACCGGAGCCACTAGTGCTGGCAATTGGTTCACAATTACCACTGCCTTCCCTGTCGTCCTCTTCCTCCAGTTTTGGTGTCTCTATGCGTCCATCTCTGACACCACACCCGCCCTCCTGTGCCTCCAATACAACGGCTGAATCTTCGACTCCAATGTCCGACCCATTGATCACATCATCCAATGTCTGCATCTCTTGTCTATCGATCGGCTCTTCAATTGTCTCCAAATGGTTGCGATCTTCAAGTCCTTCCACTTCTTCTGTGTCTTTGTGTTGGTTTTCGACACTCTCTTCTACTTCTGACACCACATGTACTTCGGGTTCACCACTACTCTCATCCATAACTCCATTCAATCCCTGTATCTCCCGGTGCTCTTCATGCTCACCATTCAATGGATTATTATTTCCATGAATTCTCAACAAATTGCGACAATTTATTAATTCAATTGATTTGTCATTCAATTCAAGACTATTGAGTGAAACATAGTTTGCATTCAATTGAGTGACTCTTTCACACAAATTGTTATCAAAAGCCTTTAGATTTGACAATACATTCAGTTTTAACTTCATTTGACTACTAATTGAATTTATATCTAAATTGTCACACATTTTGAGTGCAATTAAAACACAAATCACAACAAAATTTTAAGCAAAATGTGATCAAAACTCACGAAACGATTGCACTTTTGTGTGACTTTTCAGTATAAGACTTGAATTACAGTTCATGTCATTCACTACAATATTACCGGTATTTCATTAAATACATGTCACACTCTCTATAAGTACAGTACTTTAATTGCTAATTAAATCAGTCATTTTAATAAAATAAAAAGTAATTTAAAATGTAATTAAAATTTAAACCCTGATTAGAACTATAAAAACATTTTAATCATTATAATTGCTTTTCACTCACTTTTGATATCAAATTGTTATAAAAGTTATTACAATACACTTAATGTACTTTGATTCATGAAACAGTGAACAATATACTGTACCGTACGGTATAATACAAATGCAGTATATCATATGTACTGGTATACACTACAACAATTACTGTATAATGTGGATTTATTAAAATGATTTACAATTAATTTTTAAACTGGCATATAATTCATTTAATATTTTTATTTCACTTATTTGTTAGATTTTAATGACCAAAAACTTTCTTACTATGTATTTCCATAAATACTACTTTCGACTACTTTTGAACAACTCTTGTATTTGTATAAAGTAATCATCTAGGTCATATGGAGTATGAAATAACTTATTTAAGGTATGCCTTGTAGAGCATAAAACTGGTGTCCATTTCCATCTCCATTAGGAAGAGCAAGTCCTTCAGACGGACCCGTTTTACGCGTCTCATAGACTTAAGACCTGAATCTGCGACCGATGAGGACATGGATTCGGAGCACGTCTTCATTCGCTTCTTCGGCATTCCGATGGCCTGTAGAGCCGTCTCATTAGCCTCGCATTGTCTCAACTCTTCCGACTCCCGTCTCCGCATCGCTTTAGCCCTGCATTTAGCGGCGATGTGGTCGGGATCGGCGGTTTTGGACCGACTTTTCAGAGCTTTCATCAGTACCTCCCGTTCCTGTTCTTCGTGTCGGCGCTTCTCTAGGCAATGCAACTCTCGAAGGAAAGCCATCTGTCCGCTCACGTCGTGCACCACTTCGTAGCAGCTATAACTCTGGATCCTTTCCTGCCGGTGCTCAGCAATGACTCCCAACTTCTCGACTAAAGTCTTGAGGCGCTGCTAAACGGCGTGTGAGACGAGTGACACGACTTCGTGGGAACAGTCATCCAATCCGTACTTATTTGTCATTTCGTTGATCCGTTTGCGCGCAGAAGTGGTGCACAGAAAGTCTTCGTCACCGCAGGACCTGAAACGGCGTGTGAGACGAGTGACACGACTTCGTGGGAACAGTCATCCAATCCGTACTTATTTGTCATTTCGTTGATCCGTTTGCGCGCAGAAGTGGTGCACAGAAAGTCTTCGTCACCGCAGGACCTGATCTGTTGGCTCACAGTCTCGCCACTCGTGAGTAGGCATTGACTTTCCTCGTGAAGGTCGACGCCTCCCATCGCCATCACGTCATTGATGTCGTCGCCTCTGGCGGAGGAGGAGTAGGCGACAAGTTGTGCGTCTTTTCCACCGCTTTCGGTGGACTCGATGTCGATGCGCTCCGGGATGTGCTGTCCGTAGTGGCCACTGTCGGCGTCCGCATCACACTCTCTGATGGGCACTGAAGTGGTTGTCCACTTGTCTGCGGGGGAGGTGTTGTCCACACAGTTGTCTCCGGATCAGCCACTGTTGTCACGAGTACTAGTGTCAGCCATAGGACGGGTCGTACAGTTTGGACGATCTTGAAAACCGTACACTCATTGCATGAGCCATACCTCAAAATTCATATACCTGTCCACCCAATTACCTGAATGTGCGGAATGGGCTGCGAGTGCGGCGCCAGCACTACCGTCCCATTAGGTGGTGGTCGCTCGGCTTCATTGGGCGACTCCTTTTGAATTTTAGGAGTTCCAAAGGGATGGCCGTCTAGTGGTCAGAGCACTGGTAGTTAACAACGAGTAACAGCGAGCAAAAATAGTTAAGTGAACTTGGTTTAATTGTCGTAAATGAATTGCAAAATACATAACCTTGTTAACTTTGACAATCAAAGTAATTACTGTATAACTATGAATACTAAATAATTCAGCAATATTATAAAATTGTTTTTAATTTATTAAAATCCATGTTTATTCACGTGTTAACTTATTAACAATTAACAAACTGCGCGTAATTAGATTTAAATACCCCGGTAATACAGGCATCTATCATAGATATCGCGCACAGTTTTAAAAAGTTTGTACAAACTATTATGCAATTCATTGCGTTTACTATACGTTACGTAACATTAAGTTTACATTAGCTTTACGTATACAGTATTTCACTGTCTGTTGCATACAAATCACATAAACGCCAAAAACTTAATTCAATAAAAATTATGTACTTTTAAAGTGTTTAATACCATTTAATAACAGTTTACTCATTAATAATCATTTAATTAGTGGTGTTTCCCACAGAATATTCTGTATATTCCGTAAGCGATGGCAAAGAATTACTACAATATATTAGGAGTGCAGAGGAACTGCAGTGAACTCGACATCAAGAGTGCGTTCAGACGACTGGCCCTTCGCTACCATCCGGACAAAAACGGGTCGACCAGTGCTGAAGACACCTTCAAAGAGGTTCTCGAGGCCTATCGGGTGCTCAACGATCCCCACAAACGAGGTATTTATGACCACAACTCCAATCGCACGCAAACTCACCGCACATTTCAGTCGCGACAACAGTCTTCGGGATATGAGACCAGTCGTCGACACCATCGCCGACGACAGCCATCGCCATCAAAGTCCGGTCACCGAAAGACCAGTTCCGGTGATAGTCATCGCAATAAAAGTGTTGAGCACTCGCTGTACGTATCGCTCAAAGAGGTTCTCCACGGATGTAGTCGTCGGATGCGAATCACTCGGAAGGTGTGGTTCTCTCCCAAAGAGTATCGCAAAGAGCGACAGACAGTGACCATCGATGTCCGCAAGGGGTGGAAGTCGGGCACCAGAATCACGTTCGCAGAGCACGGGAACCAACGCCTGTACGATCCCTCAGCGGTCGCCGAAGACATTGTGTTTGTCATTAGAGACAAAGCGGACAAACAGTTCAAACGAGAAGGCATTCATATCGTATACACCGTCCGATTGAGTCTTAAGGAAGCCATAGATAATAGTGGTATACAAGTGCCTACTCTGGAGGACCGGTCGCTTAACGTACAGTTAGACAGACAGCAGCTCATGGAGTTGTACGCTAACACTGAGGTGTATATCAGGAAAGTTGGTTTAGGACTTCCCGTTCCCAATAATGTGCTCACCAGAGGTGATCTCGTTATAAGATGTCAATTGAGATCATAAGTGATTTTTGTATTATATTTGTGTTTATTGTGTAAAATAATCTCAATTTATGTTTTGTTAATTTGAATAAATATATATTCATTTATTATTTAAGTTAACATTAAGGAGTTTCGCATATAAACTTATTTTCAGTAAATATTTCTGTAAATATATGAGATTTAATAAATCAGTTATTAGTTATAATAATTTTACGACAATATAAAAGTCATGAATTAATTGGTAAACTACTACTATATTAATATGTGTTTATCACGTGTAACAATGTGTTAATTGTGTGTATAATTTATTGTAATCGCATACAATCCACACACACCTCCCAACAAAACACCAGTTCCAGTGGTAATCAAAAGACCAGTTCTGGTAATAGTCGTGGTAAACATGTTGAGCACTCGCTGTACGTATCGCTCAAAGAAGTCCTCCACGGCTGGAGACGACACATGAAAATCGCTCGTAAGGTGTGGTTCTCTCCCAAACAGTACCGCAAAATGTTTCAAACGGTGACCATCGATGTCCGTAAGGGCTGGCAGTCTGGCACCAGAATCACGTTCACAAAGCACGGCGACGAGCGTCTGTACAACCCCTCATGGGTTGCCGAAGACATTGTGTTTGTCATTAGAGACAAAGCGGACAAACAGTTCAAACGGGACGGCATTCATATCGTATACACCGTCCAATTGAGTCGTAAGGAAGACTATATTTATTGTCCGATATCTGTGCCAACTCTGGAGGACAGACAGCGCCGGTGGTTCACCATAACGTTGGACAGACAGCAGATCAATGAATTGTACGCTAAGAACGAGTTGTGTATCAGGAAAGTTGGTTTAGGGCTTCCGGACCACAAGAATGTGCTCACTAAAGGGGATCTCATTATAAAATGTCAATTGAGATCATAATTAATAAGTCATTACTTGTTTTGTATTATACTGGTGTTGATTGTGTACAATAATCTCATTCATGTGTTTAAGGTTTTGTATTAATACGATTATAAAATAATACAATACAGTATTGTGTATAATTAAATTTTATATTTTATGCGGTAATTCAACAGATTAAATATTTTTTATAACTTGTAAGAATCTTTTAACTGTATATTTTAATTATGTTTTTACTTAATAAATATTAATAAAAATAAATCGTCTAAAAGTTACTGAATTATAGTCAAAATAAAATTTTTATACACTCAATCAATTTAATTAAATATAAAAATAAGTTTATTTTAAAATATTAACTGTCACTTAAATATAAAATACAATAAGAAAATATAATATTATTTGCACTTATATTTGATTGCTATAAAATCAGATCAATTAATTAAGTTTTAAACTCAATCTCTCGTTAAGTAATCTCTCATATATTGATTGACGAGCACCGGCTGATCTTGTTGTGTCCAATGGGAACAATTCTCGATGTACTGGACCGTCAGGTCGTCCACATACCGGTGCACTTCGGCTAATTGTGGCACTAATGCTATATCACGTTTGCCTAACAAAAATAAACCATAAATTAAAATCTCAACTCAATTACCAAAACAAACAAAACACCAAAACTAACCCCAAATAACGAGCGCCGGTACTTTGATATGATAACTACGGGGCAGTTCGCACCGGTACTTCCTAATCACAGCCCTGTAGTAATTGAGTGGACACGTGAGGCTATTATACTTGGAAAACACGTATTTATAGGCCTCCACGTCCTCCGCGGTACACATGGTGTGCCCGTCGGCCGACTTCATGAACTCCTCCAACAGACTCAAGTCGTTGGACAGTAACACCAGTTCCGGAAGTAGTGGTAAATTGAAGAAATACTTGTACCACGAGCTGAAGAACTGGCGCCAACTGCGCGCCATCACGTCCTGGAAGTGCTTGGGGTGCGAGCCGTTCATTATCACCAACCGGTCCAACAGTTCCGGGTATTTGGCGGCAAAAGTCCAGCTAATGATAGCTCCCCAGTCGTGGCCCACGAGCACCACTTGTTGTCTGTTCAACCCCGTCAACAGCTCCCGGATATCGTCGACCAGTTTGTCGACCGTATAGTTATGAATGCCATTCGGTTTGTCGGAATCGCCGTAACCCCTACTGTCCACTGCGATCACGTGATAGTCTTTGGCGAACTCCCGGATCTGATGCCTCCATGAGTACCAAAACTCCGGGAAGCCGTGTATGAAAAGCATTGTCTGATTGTTTTCATCGCCTTTCGTCACGTAATGAAGTCTTACATCCTTTTGGAAATGCAATGCAATTGTCAATTCAATTAATAGTCTCAAAGTTTTAGTGAACAAAAATTCTTAACACAAAAAAAGTTTACAAAAACTTTTGTCCCATACTCTCAATGGCATGAAGTGATGAGTGCCTAGGGATGGGTCGGTGAGGCAATCCGGTGGCACATCCCGGCGCCGGACCTGGAAAAACTTCCCCCTATTCCTGATGATACTAATGGTGGCGAATATGAGCACCAGGTACCCGTAAAACAGGGACAGGGCTATAGTCACCCACTTTTCCACTCTATCCCTAATGCAGTCTCTGTAGAGAAAAAATTTGAATACCTTTCGCAATATTTTGCACAACATTTTCGCGCATTTAATTAATTTACTATTTAATCGATAAAATTACAACTCATTTAACACTACTACTCAATGCGACCATTAACTCGCAATTAGGTTGAATAAATATAAATAAAAAGTAAAATTATCTGTGTAGATTAAATAATATACACTATAACCTTCATACATAAAAAATATATTGTAACTTTCACTATTTGTATATTATTCTGATAAATATCTGAACATGGCAATTCTTGTTTATTCCATACATATAATACGTGTCTTTAAACTTTATTCAGGCACAAAAGTTGCCTAAGTAATGCCAGTATTAAAAATATTCCACTAGAATAAACACTCGCTATCTAAACTAAATAAAACTAATCAGTAAACATTATGCCAACATATTGTGTAATATAACATATAGATAAATAGTTTATTCAATTAGCACTATGTTCAATAAACTGTGAACACAAACTAGTATTGCTCAATTAAATACACTAATGTGAATTATAAGTTACCTAATAACTAGTATACTTTAACTCTACTTTAATAGATATGTTTAGGTACTGTTGGCATTAATATAGCAGAGTTGACGTATACTTTTGGGTTGAGTATAACTAATATTATTAGATATCCCATTAAATCTATATTGCAATAAATTAAAATAATCCCTAAACCACCTTGAAACAATCGCACTATTCTTAGCCAACATTCAACTCGTTTCACAATCGCAATCACATGCATTGTGTGCCACCATATGACCATGCTTAATAATAGAAATAAAAGCTCATAAAAAACCCTATTCACGATGACGTTGGCTTTTCACACAAAAAAATCTTGAGCCCAGACATACACACGCATCGCACAAACACATCCCATCCCTACCATTACATCCCAACCGCACTCATGATTACCACCCAATTAGACGCACCCAAACACCTACACGATTGAGATGCCTGTGCGATGGCATTGACACTACAGAAAGAGGGGAACTGTATGTGCTGTTTGTGAATAGAAATATGTTTTTTTTCTAAAAGCTTTTTTATCTGTTAACTAACTTTTGGCGCTAATTATTATCGCGTATAACACGGAGTTGTCATCCGATTGAATGCATATATCTAGCATAGGGTCACTGGAAAACTACTAACGACTGATATGTACTGTGCGTATGACTCCCATAGACTGCAATGTTAACCACAATCACAAGTCATTGGCAATGCATTTGCAAACGTCATAATGGTTTGCCTGCACTATCCGTGCGCTACTGTAGCGCCTATACGTGCATACAGTGTACTAATGCATAGCATTTGACATACGCTCGTCAATAGGGGTCGCCATATGTCACAAACACATATAAATCACACAAATCTCGCATAATTTATACAGTGAACTCCCAATTATGACCAAGGCTAATTGCATATAAATCCTATTGTTCACAATGAATCGGTAAATGCTAATCAATTACACCACCAAACACTACACAGAATATTCTTGCCTACCGTGCATACAATAGTAAATAATGCCCATAAATAGACAACACATTACACGCTGCACTCAATAGCGAGTATAGTGCGTAGAAATACGGAAAAATATTTCAGCAGTCATTGTATGAGACAAACACTCTGTGGCTGTAAATAGGAGTCTGCAGTCGACTGTAGTATTGCGTATAGAAATGCATTGAACGCCAGAAACTACAGTCTATTTTCAGTTCAAATCCATTATAATTACCATTCGTATGGCTATTGCTAATTAAAAGCTGTTTTAATACGAGTGAACAAAAAATACTTTATTATTATCATTAATAACACCATAACTGCTACTCAACAGTGAATACTGCAGCCACACATAGTCGACAATACTGTGCGCGAAATGTGAGCCCAAAAATCATAAGCCATTTAATTATGTGTTTACTATTCGTTTGAAAAATAAATTTTTTAATTTTTCAAAATTAATGTTCATTTTTGTTCATTTGTTTTGTGATTTCATCGCTCAGTCGTACGTATCGTGTAATCCATAGCCCAATAGTGTAGTGCATATTGAGTGCACAGTTATCGCAGTGTTTTGTATGGGTTTTGTAATGTCTGTCCAAAACAAACCCCATTATCACTCGCATTACCTATGATTACCACTTATTTAGTGCTAATTATGAATAATAATTAACTATTCATCACCCAATGTATATCATATGATTACATAGTGGACCTGTCTCACATACACCCTATTATGTCTACACAATAGTACACTGGTATATATCATAATCACATAGTATATAATAGTAATAATTAAAAATTAATAGTTAATAATAATTAAAATAAATTAATTTTTCTAATTTGTGTTTTGATAAGACCAACAAAAATCATATGATTTCGTGATATGTTTTCATTAATATTCACAAAAAAATCTATAGTTTTTCAATAAACAAAAGTATAAAATCTATTTTGTGTGTTAATAATCATAATTAAAAATATAATTAATAATAATCTCGTAATTAATATATATTTTCTATAACTATAATACGATTTCAATATCCGTTTCATTACTCATTTCATAACGCATTGACGGATTGAGTCAATGATTAGTCGTTGGGTTTGCGTTGAAATGATACGACAAATCAGTATTCAATACAATTTGTAATCAAATACACATTCATTGCGTTCATACAGTAGTCACGACACCAATGGGTGATCATCAACGCCATCGCTATAATTGATCCCATAATAGACACTATCATCTCAACCATAAACACCAATCGCGTTGTGAATCGAGACATTGTAGTCATCATAGGATTGTGATTATCGAGTGAGTGGCCATCGATTGTGTGGTCAACCAGTAGTGGCCGTGATAGTCATCGGGAGTGATAGCGAGTCGAGATGTCGGAAGTAGATCCCGAGACACTACTGGAATGGCTGTCGATGGGCAGTGGCGACGAGCGGGACATGCAGTTGATAGCACTGGAACAGCTCTGTATGTTGCTCTTGATGTCCGATAACGTGGACCGATGTTTCGAGAGGTATGGCCACCGATATGATCACAAACCACCACAACCTCACTGTCCACTTCATTAGATAATACACTTAACTTACCATTAGATTAATGATAATTGAGTTGATAGTTACCATTAGATAGTCGGTAGTGCAGTGTCCGAGTCTTAAGGTGTCTTAAGGTTTAAGAAATAGGTTATAAACTGTTGAGTGAGTCTTAATCCAGAGTTTGAAAAACTAATCCATTATTTGATTGCATTTATAAGAGATTATCGTTTGTTAGGTTTTATTACTTTGAAAGTGACGTTAGTTTTTGACACTTTTAGCAGATTATCTATAAAATTATGATCAAAACAAGTGCCCAAAGCTATTACTGATTAACTCGACCCATATTTAAATACTAGTCTCTCTCTCTCTCTCTCTCTCTCTCTCTCCCTCCACTCCCCACACCACTGATTAACAACTGCTAACTAACCACTACATCCCTGTCGCACACAGTTGTCCTCCGCGAACATTCCTCCCGGCCTTATGTCGCATATTTCTGGACGAGTGCGCGCCCGACAACGTGCTGGAGGTGACCGCGCGGGCCATCACCTACTACTTGGACGTGTCGGCCGAATGCACGCGACGTATCGTCGCCGTCGACGGCACCATCAAAGCCATGTGTAACCGCCTGATCGTAGCGGACGTGTCCTCCCGGACCAGCAAAGACTTGGCCGAACAGTGCATCAAAGTCTTGGAGCTGATCTGCACGCGAGAGGCCGGCGCCGTGTTCGAGGCCAGTGGTCTCAACTGTGTGCTCGCGTTCATCCGCGACAACGGTTCCCACGTCCACAAAGACACACTCCATTCGGCGATGTCTGTGGTGTCGCGACTGTGCGGCAAAATGGAGCCCAACGACCAGTCGCTCAACACGTGCGTCGAATCCCTGTCCCAACTGCTGAAGCACGAGGACAGCCACGTGGCCGACGGCGCGCTCAAGTGCTTCGCATCGCTGGCCGATAGGTTCACCCGCAGAGGCATAGACCCGGCGCCGCTCGCCGCCCACGGGCTCATCGATAACCTACTGATGCGGTTGACGGCGATCGCCGCTCCGGCCGGCGCTCACCTCACGTCTACCGGTGTGGCCATACAGTCGCCGGCCATATCGACAGCTACTCCGGACACGAAGACCCCGTCCTCGGTCTCGACGGTCATCAGCCTATTGTCCACTCTATGCCGGGGTTCGCCGCAAATCACGCACAACCTCTTGAGGTCGTCCCTCAGCGACGCCATCAAGAGCTCGCTCTTAGGTTTGGACACTGTTTTGATCACTAGTTTTGTCGCATAAAAATGCATTCATTTATGTATTTTTATGATTAGTTTAATGACTGAATAGTTTTGTGTTGTTTTTAGTAATTATTTAATTGTATTTTCAATTGATTTAATACGGGATCGGTATGTGTTGTGTTTGCAGGGGACGAACGGTGCGTGTTGGACACCATGCGACTCGTGGACCTCCTACTAGTGCTGCTGTTCGAGGGCCGCCGAGCGCTACCCAAGTCGGTGATGACATCCACAGCCGGCTCGTCCCTAAACCCCTCGCGTTTACCCTCATTCCGACGGCTCGACCGACTGGACTCGGCGGGCGAGCGTACGCACCGGCAGCTAATCGACTGCATTCGCTCCAAGGATACCGATGCTCTCATAGACGCCATCGACTCGGGCGGTGTTGAAGTGAACTTCATGGACGACGTCGGACAGACACTGTTGAACTGGGCGTCCGCTTTTGGCACGCAGGAGATGGTGGAGTTCCTGTGCGATAGGGGCGCTGATGTCAATAGGGGTCAGCGGAGCTCATCCCTGCACTACGCCGCCTGCTTCGGGAGGCCTAATGTGGTGAAAGTGCTTCTCAGACACGGCGCCAACCCTGACCTCCGCGATGAGGACGGAAAGACACCGCTCGATAAGGCTAGAGAGCGTAGCGATGAGGGGCACCGGGAAGTGGCGGCTATACTGCAGTCGCCCGGCGAGTGGATGACAACCACTGCGACGCCGGCCGCCGTTAGCGCCGTGTCTGGTGTCGAGTCTAAGAGTAGCAGCGCTGGTGGTGCCGGAGCCGCGGCTATAGATACCAAACACGATGATCCCGAGGACTCAAGCCCCGGCCTGTACGGGGACCCGGAGGTGGCGCCCCTATACCTGCAGCGACTGTTACCCATGTTTTGCCAGACGTTTCAGAACACAATGATCCGAACGGTGCGGAAGTCGTCGCTGAATCTGATCCGCAAAATGACTCATTACGTGCAGACAGAGCAGGTGTCGGCGCTGAACGAGTCGGCGCCCGCGCTGGCCGTCCAGTTGGTTGAAGTGATCGCTGCGGTGTTGGACACCGAGGAGGACGACGACTGCTATTTCGTGGCGCTGCAGATGATTACCGATGTCATGACGAAAGGGCCGGACGTTTTCCTGGAGCATTTCGCCCGGTTAGGTGTGATGAACAAAGTGCAGGCACTGGCCGGACAGTCGGCCCAGTCGTCTACGGACGACGAGATCATCGAGAAGAGGGACGCCGGCGATGAGGGCGGAGCCATCGCTGGCGGCGGTGACGACCCGTCCAATGAGGACGCGCGCGAACTGGTGGCCGGACGTCCCTATCACTGGCGGGACTGGAGTTGCGTGAGAGGCCGCGACTGTCTGTACCTGTGGTCGGACTCGGCAGCACTGGAGCTGTCGAACGGCTCGAACGGCTGGTTTCGGTTTATTTTGGACGGAAAGTTGGCGACAATGTACTCGTCGGGCAGTCCCGAGGGCGGCACCGATAGCAACGAAAACAGGGGCGAGTTCTTGGAGAAGCTCCAGAGGGCCAGGGCTCAAGTGAAGCCCGGAATGGTGTCCCAGAGCTTCCTGAGCGGCGCCGGCGGCTCGCGGCTAACGGTCGGCAATTGGACGCTTCAGTGCCGACGGGACGGCGAGCTGACGATCAGCAACAGCGACGGCGCCCAACAGTCGACGCTATTGCGCGAAGATTTGGCCGGTTTTGTGTTCGAGTCTAATCGGGGAACGAAGCACTCGTTCACCGCCGAGACATCGCTGGGACCGGAGTTCTCGAGCAGTTGGTTGGGCCGCCGGGGGAAGCGATTGCGGTCTAAGTTGGAGGCGCTTAAGGCTAAGGTGAGGACACAGGCGAAGGAGATCTACGACCAGTACTTCAAGACAGCGCAGGCGACCCCGCGCTCAACGGTCGCCAAATTGGCTAATATTGTGGCGCAAATCGAGAGGGTGTCGGAGCGGCAGCACTCGCACCGCAAGAATCACGGCCACGACTGGCGCGCGAGTCTCGAGTCGGCGCTCAAGGAGTTGACGGGACTGTTGAGGGACGAGAAGTGTGTGTCGGCCTACGAGATACACAGCAGTGGACTGGTGCAGGCGCTGCTGAGGCTACTGTCCCGCAATCAGAATCAGTTCACGTGGACTAACACCGGGTCAGGGGATCGCCTACTCAAGGATAAGTGCGATATATTCAAGTCAGTGATTGGCACGGAGTCCACGGCGACGGCGCTCATCAAGAAGTTGGTGTCGGTGTTGGAGTCGATCGAGAAGTTGCCGGTCTATCTGTACGACTCGCCCGGTTCCGGGTACGGCCTACAGATACTGACCCGTCGACTGAGGTTCCGTCTGGAGAAAGCGCCGGGCGAGCAGACCCTCATTGATAGGTCGGGCCGTTGCCTCAAAACCGAGCCCTTGACTACTGTGGCGCAGTTGGAGAAGTATTTGATCAAAATGGTGGCCAAACAATGGTTAGTGAGAGAGCTAACTGTCCGTTATTGTTGTCAAATGTCTAATTGAATGCCATTCCCCTTCCCCTCCCGTTTTAGGTACGACTTCGAGCGCTCGTCGTTCGCGTTCGTCAAGAAACTCAAGGCATACAACACTCGCGTCCGATTCACTCACGAGCGAGACTTTGACCAAAATGGCGTTATCTATTGGATCGGCACCAATGGCTGCACGACCACCGAGTGGGTGAACCCGGCGCACGTGGGGCTGGTCGTGGTGTCGTCCTCCGAGGGCAAGAACCTGCCGTACGGTCGACTCGAAGACATTCTCAATCGCGACTCCTCTGCACTCAACTGTCACACCAATGACGATAAGAAGGCCTGGTTTGCCATCGATTTGGGTATGAGTTCCCCTCATATGTTATCCATGAATTGGTTAACCAATTGATCCATTGATGGATAGGTCTGTGGATAATCCCGTCGTCGTATACGCTGCGACACGCCAGAGGTTACGGTCGGTCGGCGCTGCGGAACTGGTTGTTCCAAGTGTCCAAAGACGGCGCCAATTGGGTGACACTATACACACACAGCGACGACTGTTCACTGAACGAACCGGGATCTACCGCTTCTTGGAATCTAACGGTTCCCGGAGAGGAGAAACAGGGTATGCGTCCAGACATCCAGACCATTGATGACCAGAAACTGATTAGAAAAACAATCGGTTGTGTATTGAGTGAAATTAATGTCTATTTTGTTAATAATTGAATGGTTAGGTTGGCGTCACATCCGTGTCCAGCAGACGGGGAAGAATGCGTCGGCGCAGACCCACTACCTGTCCCTTTCAGGCTTCGAGATCTACGGCACCGTTACGGGTGTGTGCGATGACTTGGGAAAGGCGGCCAAAGAGGCCGAGGCTAACCTGCGGCGCCAGCGTCGACACGTACGCCAACAGCTCAGGCATATGATGGTGAACGCCAGGGTCACCAGAGGGCCCGACTGGAAATGGCGCGACCAGGACGGCGCGCCCACAGGCGAGGGTATGTGTAGGCGCTCCTAATGGGTGTTTGATTGGCATTTAATGTATGGGTTTGTTGTGCGCGTAATGTTAGGCATAATTACCGGTGAACTCCATAATGGATGGATAGACGTGCAGTGGGATCACGGGGGCAGCAATTCCTATAGGATGGGCGCTGAGGGCAAGTACGACCTGCGACTGGCGCCCACCTATGATCCAGATCTCGTGCTGAAGAACTCGACGCTCACCACCACATCAGCCGCTTGTCAACAGCTATCGCCCACGGCCTCCATCGCTATCACCAATACGACTGATAGTCTGTCGGCGAAGGGCTCGGTCTCTACGCCCAGCACTATGTTTCCAGGTATGAGTGCTCTCCCGGTGCCGCCCATTCATACTGTAGTTATTCTACACATTCTTAGTTTAATTTGTGTTTTTGTATTAAAAATATTTGTTTTATAACTTTTCATGTAATTAATGACACTATTGTGTGCTTACAGGCCGTAAATCCAGTTCCACGTCTAGCCTACTGGAGCCGTCATCCTCATCAAACAGCCGCATAACCGTCGCGTGCACTGAACAGGCCTCCAGTGCCGACTCGCTGGTCGCCCGCAAAGCCATGATCGCCGGTAGTCTCACGCGATCGGCGGGCGACTCATCGCTATGCGACCGCAAGAGCAGTGATAATGTGGTGGCAGTGGGTCTGTCGCCCACTCAGGAGGAGACGGAGGAGCTGTTGGCTGAGAACGAACGGCCCGGTATGTCATCCCTGTGCCTATCCGTGTATTAAGATTTTTAACGTTACGTTTTCGATGTCCCTCTCGACCGGACAGGCACTCCGACGCCCGCTCTCAACGAGGAGATGACCCGTCGCTCGTCGTCCAGCTCTACGCTGAAAATGGCGGACCACTCGTCGGGCTCCGGGTCGGGCCACTCGCACCACCGCTCCAACAACAACCCCAACAACATGTCGGTGTCGGTGCCCAACCTATCGCTCAACACGATTAACGTGAACGACTCGACGGTGGGACTACTGGACGCGTTTGCGTCGGCGGCGGCCGCCTCCCGACGCCGCGCCCACCACTCGAACTCACACAACGCCACAAACGCTACAAATAACGCCAATACCGCTGCGAATGCCGCGGCGGCCGGTAATTCATTGCTCTCCCGGGGCTCTAACAATGTCTGCAATTTAGTGCGAATGGCGCTCAGCTCTAACTTTCCCGGAAACCTACCCGGTATGTGATGAATGGCACCGGTAGCAGTTGGGAACGGTATTAATGGGTATTGTTTTGTTTTGCGCAGAGATTTTGGCCGATCTGTTGGAGGAGATGTCAATCAACTCAGACTCGCCTAACACTGCGGCTAACAATCTATTGCAAGGTTTGTGCCATAATTTGTAGGATTTTATAGGAAATTAGTCATAATTACCATAACTATCGATACACTGATTATAAAATAGTAATTCAATGCCAGTTATGAATGAAATTAATTATACATTAATGTGTTGTCAATTAGATTTAATTTATTGTGTATTTATAACTGAATTATCATTTCATTTGTCGCGTGTCTTACTGTCCCATGAATTAGGAGGTCTTCTCAGCGCAGCTCAAAGCTATCCAAGTCTTTCCAGCACCGCATCGAACACCACATTAACATCGAGTCAGTCCATCACAAACTCCGTGGCGGGCGCCGCCTCATCGGCCACCGGCGCGCACACGACTACCGGCGCCAACAATCTGGCGAACTCATCGCAAACGCATCACACGGCCGGCGGTGGCGGCCTAACCATGTCGTTGACCACATCGACCACATCATCCGAGTCGGAGCCCGACTTCCTCGAGAGCTGTCAGTCCACTACACTGTTGGCCGACTTGGAGGACGAGGAGGAGCTCCCGGAGCCCGAGGACGAGAACGAGGACGACGAGAACGAAGACGACGACGACTACGAGTCGGAGCTGTTGGACGAGGAGTGCTATGAGATGAGGAACGGGAAGCGGAAGAACTGGGACGACGAGTACGTACTGAAGCGCCAGTTCTGCGATCTCATACCGGCGTTCGACCCCAGGCCCGGACGTACTAATGTGAACCAGACCACCGATCTGGAGATCGTGTTGCCCTCCACTCAGGAGTCGGTCAGCAAAGTATGCATTTGAATGGGTTTTTAAGAGTTTTTAGTTATAATTAACGCTAACTTTGTGTTCGCAGTCCGAGAAGGTGTGCCCAAACCCGCAGCTATTTTTGACACTTCGCGGGCCGAACCTCTCGAGCGCCGGCGAGTTGGAAATGGATCTAATGAATCCCGAGTGGACTCTATTCTCGGCGGTTCAGCATCTCATCCAGAACTCCGACTTGAGTACAAAGCAGGAGAAGACGCGCCGCGTATGGGAGCCCACGTATGTCATCGTTTATCGCGAGGCCAAACCCAACGACGACATCAGCACAGCCTACTCGACACAGATGTCCCAATTGCGGACAGTGTCGGCCTCTAATTCCAAAGTACTGGCGCTCTTATTAACCACTGAATGCGTGATTAAATCTAACGTTTTATGATGTGTTTGATAGGAAACTCTGATGACAACCCCGGTCTACAAACGTCGCCGAGTGTTGTCCACATCGGTGGACGTGTCTAACGGCGCCACCGTTGACGAAGTCCTACAACTCCTGCGACTGCTGTACTCCATGTCCAACGAGTGCCGCGCGGAACCGGTGTCTCTGTCGCAGCTAAGCGACAGCCAATTCACGGTCCAGAGCGACGAATATATCAGCAAAAAGATTACTAATAAACTGCAGCAACAGATCCACGACCCGCTGGTACTCGTGTCGAACTGCGCGCCCGACTGGTGTCAATACCTGACCCACATATGCCCGATGCTGTTCCCGTTTGACATCCGGCAGACCTATTTCCTGTCGACAGCGTTCGGCACCAGCCGTTCCATCGTATGGCTCCAGAACCAGAGGGACACGACGTTGGAGAGGGTGAGGGGTCCGTCACCCAGGCGTGACGATCCCCACGACTTTAGGGTGGGCCGACTCAAGCACGAGAGGGTGAAGGTGCCCAGAGGGGACAGGCTGTTGGAGTGGGGCCTACAGGTGATGAACGTGCACTCGAATAAGAAAGCTATTCTGGAAGTGGAGTTTGTGGACGAAGAGGGCACCGGATTAGGTATGTGTCGATCATTACGTGTTATCAATGGATGTATGATTGGATTTAATTGATTGTTTCGCTGCCCCTGTGCTGCACCTATAGGTCCAACGCTCGAGTTTTACGCACTGATAGCGGCGGAGCTCCAGAGGCGCGATCTCGGGATCTGGTTGTGCGACGACGAACTCATGACCGCCGCCAACGAGTCCCCGGTCGACAAGGGAGAGGGTGTCAAACCCGTGGGCTATTATATCAGTTCCAGTTACGGCTTATTCCCGGCGCCACTGCCCGCCAACTCGCAGCAGATGGACAGAGCGGTCAAACTGTTCCACTTTATGGGCATTTTCATCGCCAAAGCCCTTCAGGACAATCGACTCGTGGATCTGCCGCTGTCTCAGCCGCTCCTCAAACTCATCTCCCGGGCCGGCGCTCACATCAAACTCGACTCAAACAACACTTTTCTCATCACCGGTAATGAGTTTACTTACCATTGGTTTTCCATTTCAGACCTGTTTTTTGTGGTTATGTTTGCGGCGCTAACTGTCTCTGTGTTTGTGTCTCATATGTCTTATGACAGGCAATACCGCGGAAGAAGACGAGACGATTAGTTCGTCGATTAGTCCGATCTCTGACGACGACCTCCTGTTGGCCGAGAGGGAGGAGTTGGGCAGAGAGGCGAAGCTCAAGCGCGAGAAGCACGAGATTAAGCAGAAGTCGTGGATTCACGGCATTCTCGACATGAAGGACCTGTCGCTCGTCAATCCCATTCAGGTATGAAGTGGTGTTCCCACTGCTGACGACCTGTTTAGACATGATTTTAGTGATTATTAATTGATTGATGGCTTGAAATGAAGGCCCGTTTTCTGCAACAACTCAACGAATTGGTACAACAAAAGCAGCGCATCCTATCGGACACCGGCCTCACGTGGGAAGACCGCAACAACCAGGTCCGCAACCTCTGCATACCTCTGGCTCAGGCGCAGCTGCCCGTCCGCATCGACGACTTGGGCCTCACATTCCAGTACTGCCCGCCCTCTCGGGTGTTCGGCTACTCTGCGGTCGATCTGAAGCCGAATGGAGAGCTCGAAGACGTGACCATCGATAACGTCGAGGAGTACGTCGAGCTTATGATGGATTTTATACTTCACACCGGGATTAAGAAACAAATGGACGCCTTCAGAGGTATGTCCACTCGTTTTCCGTGACTTATTGGCAGTGAATCTAATGATTTGTTTTTTGAATTGACGGACAGACGGCTTGAATCTCGTGTTTCCCATCGAGAGGTTGAGCTCATTCACGCCCGAAGAGGTACGGCTCATGTTGTGCGGCGAACAGACGCCCAACTGGTCGCGCGAAGACATCATTAAGTTCACTGAACCCAAACTCGGGTACACCAGAGAGAGGTGAGGGCTTGGAGTATGAGTTGTCCAATTGAATTGTGGTATTAATACATGCGTTGTTGACCTCCAGTCCCGGTTTCCTGCGGTTTGTGAACGTATTGGTCGCCATGAAAGGCGATGAGCGCAAGTCGTTCCTCCAGTTCGCCACCGGGTGCTCATCGCTCCCGCCCGGAGGCCTCGCCAACCTTCACCCCCGGCTAACCATTGTCCGCAAAGTGGACGCCAGGTACGGACCACCCGTTCCCTTGCATTACACTATTTATTATTGTATTTAATTAGCAATTAATTAATGATTGACTTGTTTTACGTGTGTTTAGTGAGCACTCGTACCCATCAGTCAACACATGCGCCCATTATCTCAAACTCCCGGACTATCCCAATGAGGACGTGATGCGGGACAGGCTGTTGGCCGCCACTAAAGAGAAAGGCTTTCATCTCAACTGAACTCTCGGTTTCTCTCACAACCCGAAGAGCTCTCGAAGCGAATCCAATCGTCAACTCGAAGTCGTTTATTGACTCGAAATACCATTTCTAGTGTTTTAGTGACATTTTAGTCCATATTTACAAATAATATATATTATTATTATTACTATTATATTATTGAAGCAAAATATTGAGTTTTAATTGAAGTTAAGAGTTAATTATATATTATTGATAATTATATTAATTATTTTATTGAGATTTGAAGTGAAGTCAAGTGTGATATTACCCCTAAAAACGACCCGTTTTTTTGAATCCAATCATAGTTTTCGGTATAAAAACAATCCTATTCTCTATTTTTGAACATATGATGACATTTCGTATGATTTTTTGTATAATTTTGTGATCAAATGATTTGTTTTTTTTGTTTAATTCAATGAATGATTTATTTTTATTATTTTTGTCGATCGATTCAATTGAAAAGTGCCTTCAATTGAGTATTTAATGTGAAAATACAGTCAAATAATAGCTTATTATAAGAGACGTAAAGATGAGATGATTGAAGAGATCTATGATTTTGTGTTCATTTCATGATTTGTTTTGTTTTTTTGTGATTAAAACTCCACTTTTTATGTGACACTTATTTTTTCGGTTCACAAATGTGTTACGAAATGAAGTTTTTTCGCTGAAATTGTCTCAATTTTATCGCTTAATATTCATAAGTACTGAACAAATAATGCATTGTTTTCTGGGTTTTTGTAAATTTTGATTTCAATTTTAAACTCTCAATACATACATAAATGTGACTATTTTTTCAAACTCAACAAAGTCTATGAATATAATAACAAAAATACAAATTATATCCTATTCTCTAATAAATCAGAAATAAATAAAAGTTTAAATTCATTATAAAACTCGTGTTTTTATTTATTCAATACGGTATTCTTATGGACAATTTGTTGGTATTATTATCTAGGCAATTTTATTCTAAAACGGACAATAATTAGACAACAAGTGGAATACATTTTGCACAATTTACCGTTTGTATATGTCATTTTAAATGTTATCGGTTTATAATGTTTTTAAAAAATTCAACTAATTATAAGTTATTTTATAAATAAACATATTTCTTAAATAAATGTTTTACAAAATTTACACCGTTTGAAATGTGTTTATGTGAATTAATACCTGTTCCCATTGCACATAAATGGTTCAGCCGGGTCTGGTCAACAATTGTAACAATTAATACTATTTATCTGAAATATGTTTAATTATTATATGAGACAACTTTCAGATAAATAGTATTAATAGTTGCAAGGTTGTATTTCTTATTCAATGCAACAGTTTTTGGGTAAACTTTTGATAGATTACTGACTTTTTTGATAAACTGTAACATAAAGTCTAATATTTGAAAGTTTTGTTAAAATAAATAATTTGTTAATTTTGTAATCATTTCGTGATTTTTGTGCACATTTTACTTAAAATTGTGAATTGATTTGTATTTTCATTGAATTGATTGGCACTCATAATGAATACTCATAATGCCAATTATAATGACAACCAATTGAGTGATGAATCGGAAGAGCACCGGGAGATACAGGGATTGCATGAAGTGTTGGACGAGAATAGTGGTGAACCGGAAGCACATGTGGTGTCAGAGGAGACACAAAAAGTGCAGACTTTGGACACAGAGGTCGACGACAGAGACAGAGATGAGACGGAAGGACCGGAAGAGATGTCGGGACCAAAAGAGGGCGAAGAGAGTGGTGTCGGAGAGGATGACAGAGAAGGCATCGATAATTGTGAGCCCATTGTCAGCACTAGTAGTTCAGGTGCTAAGAGTATACCAAATGATCGCCCATTTGTGTGTTTTTGGCCCAAATGTGGCAAACGATTCACTCGAAAAGATCATCTAAATCGACACAAAAGTGCCGTCCATTTGAAGGAAAAGAGATTGAAATGCGATTATAAGGGATGTGGTCTGAGGTTTGCGAGGACTAGAAATGTAATTCTTCACAAACGGGTCCACTCGGGAGAGAAACCATATGTCTGCGATGTCATGGATTGTGACAAACGATTCGCAAAGAAATCCTATTTAAATCAACACAAGCGTGCCGTTCATTTGAAGGTTAAAGGATTTAAATGTTATTATAAGGGATGCGACCAAAGATGTGCTCTGAAGAGTGATTTAAATCGTCACAAACGGGTCCACTCGGGAGAGAAGCCCTACGCCTGCGATGTCATGCATTGCGACAAACGATTCACAAAGAAATCAACGGTAATTCAACACAGAAATGCCGTTCATTTGAAACTTAAACCATTTGTTTGCGATGAAGACAATTGCGGCAAAAAATTCACCGAAAAGGCGGCACTTATTTATCACAAACGCATTCATACGGGAGAAAAGCCATACGTTTGTGGTCACAAAGATTGCGGCAAACGTTTGACTGATCCGTCAAATTATAGACGACATGAACGCAAACATTTGACGAACAAATAAATACTTTGTTAAACACTTATCACAATTGAGATGTTTCTATAATTACAGCAATTACTACGAATAAAAAATTGAATTTGAAATAATTTTTGTTTTAATTTAAAATATTATATTTGTTTTGTTTGAACAGTAATTAAAGTATGAATAGAGAGTATGACTTGTATTGAACTGACTATACATGACATGAACTGTAATTCAAGTTTTATATTGAAAGTCACAAAATTATGTGTTATAACTTTTGAAATCCCGAACAAATCTGTAAATTGCATCGAAAAGAGCACAAAAATCTAGTCTAAAAGAATGATTAATATATTTATATAATTTGATACCTGGTATAAATTGATTGAATAACTTTTCTATTGTTTTCTAGAATTAATTAGAAATTAATATAATCCCTATAATAGTTCAAAAGGATTATGTATAGAATCTAAGATTTAATTGTTTTGATAATGTTTTTCAAATAAATTATATTTATCTGTATTACAAAGAAATTATTCAAAAACATTAACAAATATGAGATTATTAATTTAATAACAAAGTACAGTGCATAATACTTGATACTTGTCCCTGTACTTATATCTTAAAGTTACTTCATATACTAGTATGTCTTAAATAGTAACTGAAATCCTATTAGTGAACGCTTTATCATATCTTAAGGATTAAATTGAGAAAATAATTCATAATATAAACTATATATAAAAGAATTAATATTTTTACAAACTTTATAATTAATAAAAAGTTTAAAAGTTGTGACAATAAAATGTTGTCTGTTTTGACTATATTTGCGGTGATACTAGTATTTGGTCAGTGTTTGGCTCAAGACATCCCGTGGGAACCCCGGGCCAGAGGTGACAAGTTTTGGTGGACAGACACCATGAACTCATCAATCAGACGGTCGCACATAAAACTGATGAGAGATCATATTCGTGGGCGACTCCATCACACAGGGCTGGCAGAGCCTCGGGAAAGCTGTTTGGGACAAGTATTACACGCCCAGACATGCGTACAATTACGGCATATCGGGGGACAGGACTGAGAATGTGATCTTCAGAATACGAGACAAGGAATTCGATGGACTCAACCCCAAAGTGGCTGTCCTTATGATCGGTTAGTAATGATAATGTTTTGTTAAATATAATTATTAATGAGTTGTGAAACTCAAGGCACGAATAATATCGGTTGGAATAATACAGTCGAAGACGCGGCACATGGAGTACAAGAAGTTCTTAAGGAATTAACTGCCAAAATGTCGACCACTAAAGTCATACTACTATCCAATTTGCCGCGAACTCAACCAAACTGCTCTAAATGCAAACAACTTAATGTTTTACTCGAGAAGTTTGCCGACAATAAGACTATCTTTTATCTGGACCTGTGGTCACACTATGAGACTCCGGATGGCAAACAAAAGTTTGAGCTCTTTGTCGATAAACTACATCTCAATGAGAAAGGCTTTGAGGTGTGGCAACAGACTATGGATCCGTTGCTAAACAAATTGGATCCAAACTTTTAATAAACAATTTATGAGATTAATTAACGTATATTTAAGTATATTACAATATTAATGCCTTAATGCGAACATTAATATGAATAAAATTAACATCTATATGTTTATAAACGTGTGAATGAAATACGTTTATTAATACAGTATTAATAATACTGTATGAGTAATATTGCATAATAATTATACTGTACACTTACTGTAAATTCTTGTGTGGTTAAACCATAAAACCATAAAAACATCTTTTTCCTTATACAACTGATAAATGATCAGTGATAAAGTAATACACTAAACCAAAAAATACATGTAAATTCAATTCTAATGAAGCATAATATGATAATATTATTATTCTCTGTATTAGAAACCAGTTTATGTTGTATGCATTACGTGTCTAAATAACAAATTCAATTTAATTCAATAATTTATATTGTCCATTTTAAAAGTAAAAATAATAAATGTATTTATATTTAAACAATTTGTATTAGGACATACAGTACAACCAGTATATAATTAAGTATGTAAAAGTTTGTTTTTGATTTGAAATAATATATATTTCTATAATAACTAAAAATAGTCAATACATACATGTTTGCAATCAATTGTGATTCTCTATATTTATTAATATCTATACAATTATACAAGTGTTCCGTCAAAGCAATCCTTGGGAACCCCTGGCCAGGGATGACTTGTTTTGGATGAACAGACACCGGGCGCTCATTAAGCAGACGGTCGCACATAAAACGGACGCACAGATCATATTAGTCGGCGACTCCATCACCGAGGACTGGGGCTCTCAGGGGAAGGAAGTGTGGGACAAGTATTACGCGCCCAGACATGCATACAATTACGGCATTTCGGGCGACAAGACTGAGAATCTGATCCATAGATTAAGAAATGGTGAGTTGGATGGACTCAACCCCAAAATCACAGTCCTTATGATCGGTCAGTCATTGTATTTCCCGTGAAATTGCATTATAAATGAATTTTAAACCAAAGGCACGAATAATATCGGATGGGGTGATAGGGTTGAGGACATCGCCCGTGGAGTTGAAGTGATTGTCAATGAATTGTTGGCCAAAATGTCGGACACTAAACTCATTTTGTTAGGAATACTCCCAATGGTTGACTCGTGTAATGCTAGAGTGAGAAAGGTTAATTCATTGAACAAGAAGTTAAATAACGATAGGAATGTCTTTTTCCTGGACATGTGGTCATCATTTGAGGGCACAGTTGGCACACAAAACACAGAACTCTACGCATACGACAGACTACATCTCAATGAGAAAGGATATGAGTTGTGGCAGAAGACTATGGAACCACTGCTTAAGAAGTTGGACCCAAATCTATAGACTAAAATTTTGTGCTGGTTCATAAAATTAATTATCAATTATTTTGTCTTTTAATTGTTTATAATAAAACAATACTTATTTAAATTATGATTATACAGTACTAATTCTTGAATAATACATAAACTTTTGAACTTTGGATATTAAAAGCATTATTAGCTAGAATGCCCAAGATAATAAATTCTAATGTACTGTACAGATGTACTTACAGTAAAAATCAAATATAATAACTCTGTATAAAATTAAGAAATAAAATTAAAGCATTAGCTAATATTAGACTCTAATTATGTGTCACTTTAAATTAATTTACAAGTGTTCCCTATTACCTTGTTTATTAAACATAACTACAACTTTAATTAACAAACATTATATTAAATACTTTTTCAATCAAATAATAGTTTATAAATCATAAGTTATGACAGTTAACATTTACTTTATTTTCACATCTTAAATAAAGTTTGCATTCATTAGTACTGGGATTAAAATATACAGTAAATTCAGAAAATACAATAAAGCTTAATTTAAAATGCATATTAATTTCACTTTAATTTATATTATAATGAACATTTGTAAAATATATTAATGTACATTATAATATTTTATGACTATGTTTCCAAATATTATGGTTTTCATATAAATTTAATAAAAATCGATATATTGTACAAAATAAATTATATGATCTTGTTCATTATGAAAGTAGATTTCCAATTATGATTAAATACATATTCCGTTCCCATGGTAGTATTAACAAGCATTTAAAGGTAACATGGATCATTTTAATTTTCACTCCTTTATTGACATAATAATGAGTTTCATGAATAGAATCGGAATAACACTTAAACTCTGAAATGATAGCAAACCTCATATCCTTTGAATCTTGTGATGAGAAATAGTTTCCAACAGTAAAACCCAATCCCTTTCCCACCCAATCGCTCAATCAATGCCAGTAACTGTAATTAATATATAAGTAAAAATAATATAAGCAAGGTACATTAATTAATTATTCAAACTAAATGCAATCAAAACATTATTAAAATTACATGTTACGATAAATTAATTGGCATATTACCTTTAGTTTTGTAATGAGAGATACATAGCGTTTATTTTGTATGCAATAAGTGTTTAATTGCTTATATAACATTTTAATGTGTTTATAAAGTATAGCTGATATATGAATAATAAACACCAGGCTCAGTAGAAAATTTGCGGAAAAGAGGAAAGCTATACTTTTGGCAATAAACAATATGTTCGGGGGATATACAACGTATAGAAATACTGTAATGCATATTGCTATGAGTGACCAATAAATAGCCAAAAAGTATTGCCAATAAATACGGTTATAATCACCGATTTCGGTGAATATATCGTTAAGTTTACGCATTATTTGATTAACATTTATAGAGCCCTTTTGAATGGTTTTCAATCGACAATTAGTTAACTGTATTTGGAGTATCAAATAGTACACTATAATCGTGTAATACACTAATTGCCAGGTTATTATATTGTTAATGTAATAGCAATTCAGAGATATAGTTATTGAATGGATACAAGCGTATAGTACCATGGTGTATGTAGGTGTTTTGAAACCAAATACAAATGCTAAGAAAACACCAGGGACACACGTGTCACATAAGAATCATACAAATTAAGATCATATTTAAGGTTTCCGTACATTTAATACACTTTCTGCTGAATGTAAGCAATTTGATGACCACTTGTTTGTCGTGAATCCCAATACTAATGGGTGTTATTAAACCCGAAAGCATCCAAAATACACACAAATCCCGCGGTTTTATACCATTCATGAAGTTATAAAAGTTTAATAACTGTNACTAATGGGTGTTATTAAACCCGAAAGCATCCAAAATACACACAAATCCCGCGGTTTTATACCATTCATGAAGTTATAAAAGTTTAATAACTGTGAGGACAGGGCTATAATGGCAATAAGCATCAATCCGATGGATGACTGCACCCAAACGGGACCTAAAGAATAGGTGACGTCCCCAATGATGGCATATAACTCTTGATTTTGTTGTGGTATTAGTATTGACACCAATTGTCTCAAAAAGAATTGAGAGAAAAGTGAAACGAAAACAACAATCGGTTTGTGAAACCATCGCCTCTTCGGAGCATTGAATGGCTTATGGTTTGAGAGACCGATGCTATACAAGTGAGTGCCGGCATGAGTGATGGCCAATGTCAAGGGTATTACTAAGAGAAAAGTGAAACGAAAACAACAATCGGTTTGTGAAACCATCGCCTCTTCTTCGCATTGAATGGCTTATGGTTTGAGAGACCGATGCTATACAAGTGAGTGCCGGCATGAGTGATGGCCAATGTCAAGGGTATTACTTTATTGACCGACAAATACTGATAAGACTCTTGATTTTGTTGAGGTATTAGTATTGACACCAATTGACGTAAATATAGTCTAAAAATTACTCTAAAAACAAGAAACGGTTTGTGAAACCATCGCCTCTTAATCGTGACCCGGGGTACTGTTTGCTTGGGATGAACGCGCATATTGTTTATTTGAGTTGAATATTAAAATAATGCATAATATATAGTTACTCTTAGATTTTAATACCGACTGTAAACATACAGTAGTCAATACTTTTGAAATTAACTTTATTTTTCAAGTCTTAAATACAATTTGCATTCATTAGTACAGGGATTACAATATAATTGCATTGAAATTAAATGCCAATTAATGCACATTTAATACACAGAGCTTATAATGTACCTATTATTGCCATAATTGTCAGTAATTATTATTATGTTCATTTTATGCTCATTTTAATAGCGATCAAATGATATTAGTATTCATTTCGAAATATAATTTTTGATTCATTTGGTACTCCTGATGGCCAATGATCCGGGTATTACTCTCTTAATCCTGACCCGGGGCACTATTTGCTTGGGGTGAACACGCATATAGTTTATTACAGTAGTTGATTATCAAAATAATAACTAATATTTAGTTACTCATAGACTTTAGACATGGAAAACACTTTTGACATTAATTTTATTTTAAAATTTTTAAATACATTTTACATTCATTAGCTCTGCGATTAAATATAAATGTACTTCAAATTAAATGCCAATTAATGCATATTTAATATACAGAGCTTACTCATTTTAGTATAATGTATGTTATAATTGTAATTAAATACAAAATATGAGATGTAATGATGAGATGATTGAAGAAATCTATGATTTTGTGTTCATTTCGTGTTTTGTTTAGTTCATTAAAACTCCACTTTTTGTTTGACAATTATTTTTATGTTCATAAATGTGTTACGAAATTAAATTTTGTTGTAGAATATTAACAATTATTGAACAAATACAGTAAAGCATTGTTTTCTGGGTTTTGTAAATTTTGACTTAAAATTTAAACTCTCAATACATAAAAATAACTGTTTTTAAACACAAAGTCTATGAAAATAATACAAATTATATCCAATTCTCCAATAAATAAGGAATAAATAAAAATTTGAATTCATTATAAAATGGGTTTTATTTTGCATTTAAAAATGAATACAATTGATTCAATTCAACCTAGTTTATTAATTTATAATAATAAACTATTAATTTGGAAGACTTTAACATCCATTTCCCGTCCAGACTTGAATTCTCGAATCGACCACAAGTTCCTTTAACGCATCGTTTTATATCTCGTCATACCATTGGTCCACATCTACCGTCCCTTTAGACGCCTTTCCCGCACAAACTTCTGTCCCATGTATCGGTGGATGATGGGCACAATTGCCATTGTCTATATAACTTAGAAAAAGCATTAATTCAAATCGATAAATATGTAGTATACTAAAAGCGATAGCACTTATATTTTGTAATAATGAAACAGTTTCAATAACTTCGAGACCAATGAGATGACCAGAAGTAGTCCGTCCCGTATGTCCACCGTATATGTCGCATGTGATGGATGAGGGTAATCAACTGGTAAAGAGAAACAAAACAGTATCACCAAATCATATAAAATTAACTTATCCTATCTTAACATAAATGTAAAAACATATGCATTTGGAGTCTATTGGATACCAAACGAATTCCAAATCCCATCAAAAATTATTAAAATCAATCATCTTGAAATTCTCTTGATGATTGACCAATCAGTCTCTTTTATAGTATCATATTTAGCCACTAAGTTAGTGCCACAACTCCTCACGCATTAAAAGTCTATGTTTTTGATTTTAGTTTAGATACAAAATATAAACTTTACATGGTACTTTAGCCTTCAAAATAATTTCCAAACTTTAAAATGTGCTAGCTATTTTTTCAATCAAACTAGAGGTTTTACTACACTTTCAGTGATACCTGTGCGTCATATCGTATCATAAAATAGTTTGTTATATTCCGTGAGACAACTGTCCCCTATTTGGTGTGAATTCAATGTCGCCTTTCAATGACCTATTAATGAATGCAAATTTTTATATTATATTTGACGTATATTTTATGTAATGAATAAAATTCATTTCATACTCTCATTTCTCTATTCAATAATAAATATTAAACTATAATTAGACTCTAATTATAGGTCACTTAAAATTAAAGCTCAATTACATGTGAATAGCATTTAATACTAATACCATTTCATAAAATTTAGTGCTTTTCCATAATTTCCATTAAAACACAAAACTTTTGAATGGATTTCAATATCTTATAAAAATATTTTCCATTTAAATGAGTATTCATTTCAATTTATACTAATAGACAATTATACTTGGTGATTTGACAGCACATAAAAACATGTACTCATAAAAACTTCAATTACTTATAAATTCTTATTGTTTTTATTCTCTACGAAAAACACATTAATTTTATTTAAACTTTCATTTTCCATGAAAACAATTTTATTATAATTTATAAATAAATATTTTTTGATTTATAACATGAAAAAAGCAAACATTTGTAAAAATTGTGTTTCTATTGCAATAGGAAAAGATATCTTAAGACTTAACTAAAACTAATAAACTTTTTTT